AGACAGAGCCACTCCCTGGGAGCCACTAAAGAGCAGGAGCCGGGCCCATTCACCTCTGTCCCCAGCACCCCACTTAGGGCCCGGTTAGAGACCTGCCAGACAGGACCCAGGAGTCGCCCTGGGGGCCGGTAACGTGGCTTCTGAGAGACAGCGGCTGTGTGTACACACGCCAGGGCCTGGGCTATTGAGATAGCATTCACACAGCATGCAGTTCGCCCACTTAGAGTGTGCAGTTCAGTGGCTTTTCACGACCTCACGGCATTCTGTCACCCTCGCCCCTCTCGAGTTCCAGAACATTCCATCCTCCGAAAGCAGAAGCCCCGTCGTCTCCATCAGCAGCCACCCTGGTCCTCCTTCCCCAGGCCCTGACGATCACTCCCCGGCCCTCTCTCTGTGGACGTGCCTGTTGTGGGCACAGCATCGCACTGTGTGGCCCACGGGGCCGGCACCTCTCACCGAGCGCGGCGTGTTCACGCTTCGTCCCAGTGGTAGCCAGCGTCACTGCGTCACTCGTTTTTATGGCTGAATAATAATTCATCGAATGGATGGACCATGTTTCGTTTATCCATCCATCCAGTGGACGTGATGGGTTGTTTCCACTTTGGGCGCCCGTGAATCATGCTGCGGTGAGGGCAGGCCTTAGGGAAACCAGAACAGGTGTTGATGGGCGCATGTCCATCCACAATTCACGTCTGGGGACCCTGTGTTTTCTGGGGCAAGAAACACGCCCTAAAATGCATAAGGAGCGCGGGGCTGTGTGTATGTGGGGGGAGGGGGCCAGCACCAGGCTCTCTGGGGTTCTGCTGGGCTCTGGGGAACCCCGGTCCCCAGGTGGGCCCGATCGTGAACCCCGGACTTCCAAACGCAGGACTCTGAGAGGCTCCCAGCCCCTCGGGCGGAAGGGCCAGGCTCCGCCTCGGAAACCGCCCCTCCCCTTTAAGGAGAAGGATCGCTGGGCTGGGGGGGGTGGGCAGGCCGAAGAGAGAGGGGGGGAGCGGGGTGGAGGGAAGGGGGAAGCTGGAGAAATAAGGGAGGGGAGAGGGGAGGTGGGGAGGGGCTTCCTCCATACGCAGGTGGGCGGGCGGCTTCCCCGCACCTGTGCCTCGCCTCCCTCCTCCCCCTGGGCGGGGAGCCCCCTGGGCAGGGGAGGAGGAGGAGGAGGATCCGATTCCTGTCACCCTAGAGCCACTTCCTGCTCTTTAATGTGGGGTGAAGACAGGAGACAGCGCACCTCGGGGTTTAGGCATCCCTCCAGCCCGTGGGAGGTGGGGCCGCCCCGGCTCCACCCA